CCGCCCCCGCCCCCCCCCCGCCGCAGCACTGCTCCATCCTTCTGCCTGGTGGCTGGGGAAGTGGTGGGGGACTCAGAAAGCAGCCCCTTCCCCCACCATGCACCTTTACCAAAGCATGGGCCTGTGCCCTCATCTTCCGCTGCCCCCCCTCCCTCCTGGCCGGGTCCCTCACCAGCACCCCCCAACCTCGCCCTGCTTCCTCCTGCCTCAGACCCTCCAAATCTGACCCCGCCAGCCTGCCCTGCTCTGCTGGGGGAAAGGCTTGGAGCCCCTGGGCAGTGGGATTACCGGGGGATTCGGGCCGCGGCAGGCAGCCACCTCCTCCCTATTGGCTGGAAAAGCCTCTTAAAAGTGGAGAAGTGCTTTCTGCCCGCTCAGCACCCGCCGGTCTCTGCCGACCTGAAACCATAAGCGGCTGCTGACCCACATCCACGCTGGGAGCACCGTGGGGCACCACCTGCACCCACAGGAGGCAAGGGGGTCCCCTGTGCAGGGCGTCCCCCGGAGCGGCCACGGGCGGCTTTGCTGGGCAGCGTCGGAGCCGGAGGAAAGCAGGCTGAGAGGGGGATTAGCTCTCTAGTGAGGGTGTAGTTGCCTCGAAGGAAGGAGCAGGGCACAAGAGACCGCTCGGCGGGCACTGGATTCCTGCAGGCATCGCCCCGGCGTGTCCACCATGGAGCAAAGAGCCAGCGGGACCATCTGACCCGGCGCCCTCATCCAGAGCCGGGAAGTGCCAGCTGGAGGGAGAAGGGAGCGCTGCGGACGGGTCTGCTTGGCCCTCAGAGGCTCAGCCCGTGTTCGGGAGGTGGTCGCTTCGTTGCGCAGGTCAGTGCGTGGAAGGATGCTTGCACCGGCTGCCGATGGGGCAGCTTGTCCCAGGCCTGCACTCATGTAATTCTCTAACGAATGCTTTCCCAGGGAGTTGTCTGTGGGATGGGGAGGCTGGTGCCACAAATCGTGGCCCTTGCATTTAATAAACAGACCCACCTACCCCATCCATACTCTGTGGGGGGGCACAAGGAGTCATCCTAGCATTCGTGTGGACCCTCCTGCATGCAGCTTGCCTGGCGCAGTAGGGCTTTGATGGGCATCGTCCAGCACTGCCTGTTCTGTCTGCACCCAGGGACCGGCAGCCACGGCCAGACCTGCTGTGGCCTTCACCCTCCCAGCCTGGGCTGGTGACTATTGGTGTCGGCACAAAGTCTTCTTCTGGCACCTGCCCACCGCTGGCTCTGCGGCAGCGTCTGCTCTGGCCCACCTGCCTGTGATGCACGGGGAAGGGCAGGTGCCCATACTGATGAGCTTTTAGGTGCACGTGAACTTACCCATGGTATTTTTACCTGCAAATAAAGCTCCTTAACTGAGGAGAAAATAATAGCAAGCTGTGGAGTGTGCAAGGGCAGGTGCAGGGTACACAGTGTGACCACCGTGTGCAGCCGTGAGCAGAAGACCCAGCGTATGCACCATGGGGTTAGGAACAAGGCAGCTCTGAGCTGCCTGGCTCAGAGCTGGGGTAAATCTCCAGCAGAGCTATGCTATAGCGTATTGGCTTTGGAAGCTTCTCCACAGGTGAGCTTCTCTGGTGCACTTCATCTTTTTCAGCCAACATCTAGTTGGAGGCAGGTAAAAGCCCCTTCGCGCCTTGCTGTACAGTTGCATAGCATTGAGAAGTGGCTGGAGCAGAGGTACCCATCCAGCTCCAAACTCAAACACTACTGACAGGTATTTGTCTAACGCGCTCTTCAGAATCAGACACCGTTGACTCATCATCAACAGGCGATGCAACAGAAATCTCCGAAGAGCATGCCACAGACGGACAAATATTTTCTTGCTAGGAAGCTGGGGAGGAAGATGATTTGCAATGGTTTGATTGATTCATTTGATTTGTGGTGCAGGATGAGATCAAGAAGAGCGAGGTTGGGAGAGGGGCTTGGATACAAAGGCTCAGGGTGTGTTTGTGGTCAGTCGCTCTTCTTTGAGTGCAGCAGATGGTGCAGTGGTGGAGCACCGGCACTGGTCGAGAAATTGTTGCTCTTGTGCAGCAGGTCACCTTTTGTACGGCTGGACCTGGCTTGTCAGTCGGGTGAAGCTGGGAGAGGAGAAGCGGGTGGGTGATGGCAGAAGCTGAGCGAGATGGTTCAGTCTGGCTGTCCTGGTGTTAGGGATCCAGGCAACACCAGAAAGGGTGCAAGGGGGAAGGTGTGGGTGTCTGGAGAAGGTAAAATTAATCTTTTCTTCCTTGCAATAATTCTTTGCCTGGAAAATGTCTTTATAGCACCCTATTCTCAGTTCACGCTTCTGCCCACTGCCACAGTGCCTGAGACTGGGGCTGGGGTGGGGAGAGACTGGAGTAGCCTGAGCTGGTCCCTGTGGTTCAGCCCCAGCGTTGTTAGGATATGGCCATCCAGAAGAAGAGCTGCCCAATCCACACTCAGAGCCAGATCCTGCTCCCTTTTTTCATGGCTGATGGGGTCCTGAAATTTTGGGGATCTCTGCTGCAGGGACCCATGGTAGTGGCAGATGCCTGGGTGGAGCCATGAACAAACCCTCAGGTGGTTTTGGGAGCAAGGATTCCCTGGGGACGGGAAGGAGGGAGACCACTGCAGGTGGCTGATGACTCCGATCCCACCCTTCCCTCCACAGGTCAACCTTGGCTTGGGCACCTGACTAAAACCAACCAGCCAAGACCAGTGCGTGCCTCCTCACATCAAGGCACTGTGGGTGCAGGTGGTATGTCCCTTGCGAAGGCGTCCATAACTGGCTCAGTTGTCCCGTCTTGCAAAGTCCCTACTCTGGCATCTCCGAAACTATGGTTTCAGACCCCTCTCAGAGCCCTCCCCAGCCCTTTTTCCAGCCTAGGCTCTGCATGCTGAACCTCCTGCAGCCCGAGAAAGACCGGTCACTCTCCTTTTTTGCAAGATTCAGGGGTGTCACAGGGTAGGGCCACCTCTTGCCAAGCAAGGGCCCTTTATTGGGACTCTGCCCCTGCCTGTGCCATCCGTGACTTTGCCTAAAGGATTTGCACTTGTTTAGCCTGCAGAGCATCAACAGTGCTATGGGAATCAGGGCACGTCATCCCCATTGCTTGGAGGACATGAAGAAGAGGGACTACCGTGAGAAACACACCCAGATCCCAAACTCCTGGGTGCTACCCCTGTGTGTACTGGCCATAGGGGTATCCTTGTCCACTCAGTGGTCTCCAGTCAGCATGTGATTGCTGGCATTTCCCATGACTGCCAGTGCCAAGGGATGGGGACATTGCCGCCATCTCGTAGTCCATCAGCCAAGGGAGCTGGGAGGAGAGAGGACCCACGTTGGGGGTGTACTGCCAGCAGGATAGGCCAAACTGGACCCAGCAAAGCCCAGCTCAGGCATGGAGAAAGCCTGCCTGCTTTCTAAAGCCTGTCTGATGCTACTTAGGAGCATCTATAATCAAAGGCCGGTGCTGTTTTTGCATACAGGTGTGCAAAGAAGCTGTTTGACCGAGAAACTGAGGCCAATGGTGCCGGAAGGGGTATGGCAGAGACCTGGTGCCTGGGGGAGAAATGAGAAAAACATACCCACGGCAGCCAACTGGAGCAAAATTCCTGGCCAGCTTAACAGCCCTGAGAGCGACTCACAAGACATCCCCTCTAATTCCCTCCTTCTCCCCCCCCTTAGGCTTTGTTCCGGCCCCTCCATGTAGGTATAAAACCCTAATCTCTCTGGCATGCAAATAGCCACTGCCACCGGTCTGCCTGCTCTCCCCCTTCACCCATTTCCCAAATCTGGCCCCTCGTGGCGGGGAAGGGAGGGCGAGGGAGAGGGCTGTGCACAGAGGCCTCCCAGAGGAAAGCACAGGGGCGTTAATGGGCCTCCTGCACCCCACTGCTGGTCCAGTCCTGGAAGGCTCCCAGCTGGAGCAGACCGGGAGGGGAGAAGCGCAAAAGCAAGCAAGATCTTGGGATGTCTCACCTCGCACCAGCCAGCAGGCAAGGCTGGATGTGGAGCAAGTGGGGTGCTGCAGATCCCAATGCCCCACCGCATCAGGTGCAGCTCTCCAGTCCCATCTGGGAGCTGTGACCCTGCTT